TATTTTTTTTCTAAAGAATGGTTAAACATACGAATTGGAAACTTTGCACAAACATTTATGACAACTAAACAAAGCTACAAAAAAATTATGACGATTTTTCAAATTAATTCATAAAACAAAATGGCGGCCATTAAAATTTTTTTCTTAAATAACTCAAAAACCATTGATTTTACAAAAGTTTTAAATGGCAGCCAATTTGTTTTATGAATTTGAATAATCGTGATCATTTTTTGGTAGCTTTGTCTAGTTGTCATAAATGTTTGTCCAAAGTTTCCATTTCGTATGTTTAACCATTCTTTAGAAAAAAAAATAACTGAAAAAAACAAAATGGCAGCTGTGTGAGTAACTAAGGACTTCCGGACAGATTAAATATTATATTTAGTTATTTATGTTTCTTACCCAGGAGCAATGCCCTAAAATATTGGTCGAGAGTTCCGGGACTCCCTGTATCATGACCGTAAAATATTCGACGTTAAAGTCGTATTCAACTGATAGTATAAATAAAAAGCGTATAAAAGTAATCTTAGAAATATTCAAAAAATGTTTATGTAAATTGAAAATCAAACAAGTTTATGATTATTTTTTGACAGTAAATGAGGTCGAATATCTATTTTTACGAATCATATTCAACAAATCTTTCCAAAAAGATAAGTTTTAAGCTTTAAGCTTTTAGGAGAGCTTAGCATTCAGAATAACAAGCTATTCGTATTCAGCTTTCTCTTTTCCAGACTCATAATGCGGACGCCCTTGTGGAGACCTTACGAACAAAGCCCTGCGTTTTGTATATTCAACTTGGACATTTATTTTGAAAAGTACAAATATATAATCAAATACTAGCTCTAAAAATACATAAAAAATAGATCAAATAACCTCTGCATCAGTAAACCTGCAGACTAAACAAATTTCCCTTTGCCTGAATTGATTTTAAATTAAATCTATTTAAATAACATGCGGTTTAAAAGTACCTAGGTTTGCTGCTAATAAAGTGCTACTAAAGGTTTGTTTTGGGGTGCTAATTAAGTTAGTTTTTAGTAAAATATTAATAGCTCAGAATGAAATAAATAAATTTGCCATGTTTGAAATAATATGTCCATAAACAAGCAAACTAAATTATATACAATGTTCTCCATAAGAATAACATGGGAATTTTAAATTTGTAGCTTATTATATTTTCTCTGTAACCAATAACTCTTTAAAATTTATATGCAAATAAATACAAAATTCACTTAACAATCTGAATACAAGTTGGAAGATTGCCCATGTGAAACCATTGCCTAAGGTTGCTGCGCCAAAAACCGTCCAGCATTTAAGACCTATCTCCGTGTTACCTGCAATGTCAAAAATAATGGAAAAGATAGTAACTAAACAAATTGCTTCATTTCTAGATGACTTTGATATATTGCCTAAGCTACAGTCAGGGTTTAGAAAAAACCACAGTACTTGTACTGCACTGACTAATATGTTTGCGGATCTATTCGATGCCAAAGATAAAGGCCTATACAGCACATTAGCTATTCTAGATTATTCCCAAGCATTTGACTCTATTGATCATGAATTGTTATTGGCCAAAATGAAGTGCTATGGCTGTAGTGAAAAAGTTGTTTGTTGGTTTCGGTCCTATTTGGAGTCCCGACTGCAGGTTACCAAAATTGGGAGTGAGACATCAGATCCGCTTTGCAAATTGCGTGGTGTTCCTCAAGGTAGTTGTTTAGGACCTGTGCTGTTCAATTTGTACACGTCTGACTTGTCCAGAAGTGTAGAATATTGTACAGCACACTTGTATGCTGATGACTGCCAACTACACTTGTCATACAAGCCAGACAAGACATCAGAAGCAATCCGGCTCATCAATGCTGATTTGCACAGCATTTTTCAATGGTCTGTCATGAATGGCCTTGGATTGAATGTTGACAAGTGTGTAGTCATGCATACTGGACCAAACATTATGATGCAGGAATTGAGTAAATCTGCTATAGAAGTCACCCTTGATGGCATGAGATTGTCTGTTTGCGACACTGTCAACACACTTGGTGTTGTACTTGACAAAGACCTCTCTTTTTCTGACCATGTCACATCTGCAGTTCAACGCGCAGTGGGTAGACTGAGAGGTCTTAGCAGATTTAAAACTCTACTGCCAGAATATGCCAAAATGCAACTCATGCGGTCCTTGGTCCTCCCAGCCTTTACATATTGCTTTCCTGCATATGGAAACAGCATCTCTAAGGAGGATATGGCAAGAGTTCAAAGAATTCAAAATTCTGCAATAAGGTTCATTTTTGGCCTTAACCGCTTTGACCACGTGTCCTCCTTCCGAGATGCTGCAAAGCTCATCCCAATGGATGAAATATGCAGGAGGCTGACCTGCTGCCTGGTCCACAAAGTGCTCACGCTGGGAGAGCCTCAGTACCTCAGCGAGAGGCTTAAGTACAGGGGGGAGATCTGCCTGCGTGGTACTCGTTCCGACCGCAGGCTTCACTTTCCTAAAGTGAGGCTTGAGGTTGGAAGAAAGTCATTTTCTTATTTTGGCCCGCAGTTGTATAATGGCCTCCCTCAGGACATAAAGAGCTCCAAATCGTATGGCTCATTCAGGGCCGCAATGCAGAAAAACAAATGCAAATTGTAAATGTTTTTTTCTTTGTAGTTTTTTTTGTATATTAAATTTATGTATATATTAGGTTAGTTTAGTTTTAGTTTGACTTGAGTAAGTTTGAAAATCATGTATATGAAACTCGCTTGTAAATAAAGGCCTTTTTATTTATTTATTTATTTATTTAATAAAACTCCACAAAAATACAGGTTGGACTATTTGTTGGGTAATTATTTCAATGTTACTGTCAATTCCAGAACCAAAATAATTGGCTAACCTGAGTACTTTGTAATAAATCACTACTATGAATTTAAAACTTTGTGGAAACCACAGTTCTGATTCTTGTAATATGTCTAAATAATATTAGGACATTTATACACTTTAAAGTTCTAGCTACGCATAAAAGTGAATAAATAACCATGTAAGGCTCTGAAATATGTTTACGAAAATATTTATTGTACAGCACTAATATACAGGGTGACCGTTAAGTCTTAGGACGACTTTATACCTTTTAAACGACAAACGATATCAGAACCACATTTGGTATACCGTTACTGGAAATTGTAAGCTAATTTTCTTCTGACCCCCGACGGGCCGTCCCCCAAAGGTGATATCCGACCACCATGTACACAGAAAAGTAGCTTACAATTTCCAGTAACGCTATACCAAATGTGGTTGTGATATCGTTTGTCGTTTAAAAGTTATAAAGTCGTCCTAAGACTTAACGGCCACCCTGTATTTACTGTCATATATTTACTAATATATTAAGGCCCGATTTCACCAAACACTTAAACCGCCGTTAAACCATGCTCTAACTGCAGTTAACTCTTAACTGACGAAATCGGATTTCACCACCCGCCGTTAGCGCTAGTTTAGACTAAACCGTCGTTAGATAATTAACTGCCCAATTTTGACCGGTTAACTTCTTTAATCCTTCGTTAAGGAAATGTCAGCTGGCTTTAAGTTTAAAGTTGATATGGAAAGGCGAAATGGTAGAAGAGAATACGGTACGAATTAGCTTTTGAAAGTAAGCGATGGCAATGAAGAGTAGCCTATGTTGTTTACCGAACTAGGTGGATAAGAGAAAGGGTTAATGATTTTAATAACAAAGATGAAATTGATTTTATTATTAGATATGAACTATCAAAACGTTTAGCCTTTTTCTTTAGGAAATGAATACAAACCACTGTGGTGGTTTGTGTTTAGGCTATCCCACATAGTGCATTGCTTTAGGTTACCCCATAAGGTTTTTAGTTAGGGCGTAGGCCCATATCTGTGATCAGCGACCGCATTGAACTGATTGGCGATCAAGAGCCGTACTCTTTTATCCCGGCTAAAAAGAGTGTCCCGGCTCTTCTACCAACATTATCAAATTTATTATTTCATTGCTCGAAAAAATAGGCTCCCTTTTCCTTCTCCCGGCTTTGGGTAACCCTAACCCAACGTTCAAACAATTGTTTTGCGTTCGGTCAGACGTAATTAAAGCAAAATCTAAACCTAAATTGTCATTATTCTGCTAGTATTTTATAGAAAATAATTATTTTGGTGTTATCTTTATTTATTTATTTATTTATTACATACACGGCAAACGCCATTTTACAGGAGAGTTGAGTTGAGATTGATAGTTATAGTGCGATCAATAATTAAATATTTTAACAAATATGAAATACTAATAAATAATATAAAATATAATAATATGAAATACTAATAAATAACATGAAATATAATAATATGAAATGCGATACAATACAGTTTTGATTAATAAATATCATGATTTACAGGACGTGACAGCTATACAGGCATGTTGCACGAAAAACAATATAAATAGACAATTTAACAACAAAAACAATCATAAAATAAACTATTAACAACAAAAACTACACGTCAAACCATTTTGAACAAGACAATATAGATCAATTACAACAAAAACAATATAAATAGACTATTTAACAACAACAACAAAATAAATAGACCATACAACAGTAAAACAGAAGGAGAAACAGATGAGTGACATTTTGACAATATTTCACTACATGTGCATTCTTCTGAGCACGGCACTCGTTTTGGACTTGAAGGAGGAGACACTGCGGCCAAAGAAGTTGACGTCTCGGCAAATGCTGTTCCCTGTGCGCATCAAGCGAGGTACCGGACAGTGCTGAATGTAAGAGGTGGAGTAGTGATCTCTTTTAAACAATTGTTGATGTCTGGAATGACGAGGGACGTGGAAGTCAATCTTTCCCAGCAGCTCAGGACAGTCCAATGAGCCATTTACTAGCTTGAAGAGGAATACCGCGTCCATCAACTCTCTTCGAAGAAGCAACGGTGGGAGGCCAAGAAGCTGACGAATCTCGTTGATTTCAACTTCAGTGTAGCGAAAACCCATCTTGACTCCGATCAATCTAAGAAAACGGTTTTAAACTTTTTCTAGTTCATTAACCAATCCCAGTTGGTAAGGGGACCACACAGTTGAGTTGAATTCCAGAATTGAGCGGCCGAGAGTCATATAGAAAGATTTAATGGTGGTAAGAGAAAATGGTCCTCTGGTGGCTCTGAAGATGAAACCGAGAACGGAGTAGGCCTTGGAGCAGATGCGAGATATGTGAGCGCCAGGGTGAAGGTTGTATGTGAAGAAAACACCCAAGTCGCGGACCTCTTTGACAGACTGCAGAACTTGAAGACCAATATGGTAATTGAAACAGTTCATCTGTGAAGAGCGTGTGAACTGCATGACCACACACTTATTCTCATTCAGGTCCATAGAGTTGATTCGACACCAATGAATAACATTGTCAAGGTTTCTCTGAAGGCGAGCGTTGTCATCCTTTGAGGAAATCTCACAAAAGAGTTTCAGGTCATCTGCAAAGAGGAGAAACCTAACGTCCAGAATATCTGCGATGTCATTTATGAAGATGTTAAATAAAAAAGGGCCAAGCAGAGACCCTTGAGGGACGCCAGAAGTGACACTAAACGGAGCCGATAAGGCCAACGAGTGCCTTATTATTGTTTATTGTTGTATTGTGTGTGTGTGTTTATTGTTTCTCGTTCTTGTAATTCTTTTGACTCCGTTTTTTTCACTACTTCAAATGTACCAAACTGGTTAAGTGAACAAACAGAATATTGAACATCCAGGTAAAAAGTTGGATTTTGAGTCTTGACTCGACCGCAAAACTCAATCAATTTGTTCCTCGAATATGTTTGATCAACATTTCTTTGCCTTTATTTACTTTTAATTGTTTTGGTATTTATTCTTGCTTTCTGTTGTTATTTTGCTCAGAATCTATTGTATTCCTGTAAGCTTGCTGTCTGAAGTATTTGTTTTCACTACCTCATAGACACTGATTTATTTTCTAGGTTATGTTTACTTGCTCCCGTAACAGCCCGGTATTATGACAGTTCACTGCCACCGCCACCTGGATTTTACGCTAAACTCTCGTTTATAAAACCAGCGTTAGTTATGACGCGTTTTCTTTGGTGAAACCAGATTTCCTTAACTGTGGTTTAAATCATCGGTTAGTTTTAACCGAAGTTTAACTAAACCATCGTTAGCGAGAATTTGGTGAAATCGGGCCTTAATATATTTAGCACTAATATTTACTGTAAGACAATGATAGTTTGGAATTCACATAAAGATATTGTTTAAATGTGTTGCGTCATCAAGAAACATAAACATACAAGCACATGAGAAGAAATAAATAATACAACGGTATTATGATTCAAATCTCTAAAATAATAAACTTCCACACAAAATCTCTAGACTTCCAAGGCAAATGTAAGCCTGAAGGCCCATGAAAAAACCTAAAGTATATAAATATGTTTATCATACTATCATTATACTACTCACAGAAGTTTAGACATTTCTCAAGTTGAACGTTATAATAAAATAACTAAATTAACAAATCCCAATTTCCGTAAACTACGAGTATATGATCTCAGTCTCATTACTGAACAAGACATAGATGCCAGTGTGGTTATTATCAGCATCGGCATACAATCATCTGCATCAGTGTATTTACTTTACCAACCGTTGGTGGTTGCGTTTCTAAGCAACCCAATGGCATTGTTATGCCATTGTTTGAGTTGATAGAAGTAGATATACCTAAATGCTAGTTTTAAAAGATTTTAGGTTTTTGGATAAATACTCGGATAAAAAAACCTGATTTTATCTGTAAATGAGTTATTTCGAACACCATGTAGTTTTAATAATTTCAACACAGTTTTGTACTTTCGTAATTGGAACGTTTAAAATTGGCTTTAGCTGGACAATGGATCCGTCCATTAATTGAATTATCCCTAATGGAGATTGGCATGGACGAGTAAATGGTTAACAGCTTTGACCTTCAAACTAAAACCGTTAAAATCAAGTTTACTTGGCTAGAACGGATCAAAAATAGAATCCGCTTTTTAAAACTAATAACAACCCCCCCAACCTGTATAAAGATACTTTTCTGTTTTAAAACTTTTTGTTCTTGTAAATAATTAAAAAAAACTTTGATAATTTATAAGTTTTCTTTTAAATATCCTCTTTCTGCAATTGTATGCATGCCATGTTCAGTCTAGTAAGTGCTATTTGGTGTTTACTATTTAGCAAATATTTCCCAACGACATACGTCGCTCCTACAAGTTGAATATCTTGTCAGAATTTCATCATAGTAAACTTTTGATCACTTTACCAGATTTCATATATTGATTGCAATATTATTTAACTATTGATCTTCTTTTAATTTTTGCTTTAACGTATGGTATGAATTATCTTTGACTTCACCCGATCCGTTTTTTGGCAGACTCTCCTTGGCTCTTCTTGTAAGTTAATTATATTCTTAAATACATGTTTGTGATGGCATATTTACGAATTACAAACACGTTTACCCAAAACTAATTTACACTGTGATCAAAATCTGAAGTTTCAAAATGTCCAACACAGTTCAACCACAGTTGCACATTTAGTTATTGGTCAATTTAGTCGTGGTAAAATTCAAACAGTCCAAATCATTAAAACAACAATAGGCTCAACTTGTGGTTAGATAATTCTGATAACCCTTGGTTTGGAGCCCACTATAAACTAACGGGTCATACCTTTAGGGAAAAATCAAGAGATTATTACGAAAAGGTGTACAGACCTTTTCGTTCCAACCTTCTCTTATAAAATCTAACGATAAAATATTCTAAAGGTTAAACTTTTAATTTAGCGTGTAAACGTAGATCTAGAGCATGGTGGAAGTAAATATCTAGAGTATGAGGATTGAAGAGCCAAGTATCTAACCTGCGCCAATTCCCCTCCAGTATGTGAGCAATACAATCACAACACAACGATGTGGTCTACCTCCAAATGGTAAACCAAATAAGCCGATATCCCAGCAACATGAGGAATCAAATATGGCATCCTTCTCTCTTGGGGATTTAATACAGGATTTTTTATTAAAAGATTTTCTAAATTAAAATTATTAAGCTGATGTAGGTGCATTTGTAAACTAATATAGTAGTTATTCTTACCCAAAGCAATTTTTAAGATCAAATTCATAACGGCCCAAAAATAAATTACCTAAACCTCATTGTTTTATATACACTACTAAATGTGGCCAATTCAAGAGCCTCACTGACTCCAGCTAACTCCCCAAATTACTTTCGGAATGATCATGCTAAGAAAATGTGCGTCGTTCTTCCTTTATAATATAAACTATTGTGGACAATCATAAAACTTAAGACTTATACTTAATATACTTATACTTATAAAATTTTAAGTTCTAACCTTGCAAATAAAAAATAAAGTGCTGAATCGATGCGACTATGTTTAACTAAATAAGTATCAAAATTGGTTAAACGTGTTTAAATAGGTACACCAGATTTACATTTATGTGGATTTTTAATAGGTTGTCGGTCTGAGAATTTTCTGTGTCTGAAAAATATTTAGCAAAGCAAGGAATTGAACTCACGACATCGCTGATTCAGGCTGTCGCGCTACAGACTTAGGAATTGGCTAAGCAAGATTCAATTCAATTCAATTCAATTATTTAAGATGGGGACGCCACTATGTGCGTATTTTAACCCAAATATGAGTGAAGGATGAGTGTAGGATGAGTGGCGCGATCTTGTAGTCTTGTTAGTGACTAAGGCCGACATGTTCCTTAGACACAGCTGTTAATTAATAGCCCAAACAGCTAATGGCAACTAAGGGACCTACAGTTTATAGTGGAATCCGAACCACATTTTTCCTTGTAATTTACGAATTAGTCTAATTATCAGGATAATACTGCGGATAGTCGTAGTACTCACTAGTGCGGACGTTAATCCACACCAGGGAGCATCGCATCCACAGTGCATCCCTATAAATATCCACAATTCGTGACCTCCCAGTAGCTGGATTACAGGACGACGCCACCCGTCCCAGTCATGTTTAAGCTAAATTATTTTAACTCCAAGCAACCAAGCAAACATTGAATAAAAATCGATTCACTGCAGAAGAATGATGCGATTTATCGAGCACTAATACATAGTATTTCCCAAAAGAGCTGGATATTGAAAAGAAATGTCAATGTCAAAATCAAAATTAAACTCAACAAAATAAAATCCAATTCATTTTACAGGGCTATCTTGTTTGGTCAGAGTTGAGTTAATTAGAGGCCGCTGTTTAACGGTGTTCAATTAACTCGCTCCAATTAACTATGATGAGACAAGGTGGTTCTTTTCAATTTCAAACATAAATCAATCATGATTGACTTTGTAATATTTAAACAATTAATACATTGATTGATTCATTGATTTCCTAAAAGTTTCAATACACTTGTAAAAAAGGGTTAATTGTCTTGCAATGCAATCCTTAACATTGCGAAGAATTCGGGGAAAACGTAACGTATTAATTTTTACATTCATGGATAATTTTTTACCCTGTACTTATGTCAGAACTATGTGTCCCCCATAGCCATAATGGTACAATTCAGGGTCTCCGGACTGGAGGTACCAATAAATACGAGGATATAGTTCCACCAGGGGTGTGAAATGTTTTTGTTCTTGGTGAACTATCTACAAGAAAATTATCATATCCACAATAGTGTGTATGGTTTAACGTTCATTTGTCCATAAAACTTCAAAAAAACACTGCTTCTACATACTCTTAAACATTCTACGCCACTTATATTCAGGAAAATATGTGACATGTAATAAACCTGGATCTGCACTAGCCATGGCAACAACTAGCCCAACATGTGATATGAGCTAAGTCATTGTTATTTATTATAACATAGCTCAACTAATTACAATACTTCTCTGTAATACTATACTACGTTACTAGTCCTGAAAATAAGTGTTTACAGGACGAGTGTGGTCGTTTACGAGTCCGGTACACATTTTGGACGAGTTACGTACGATAGCCACCACCAACTAAAGGACTAAAAATCACTAGTCATAACCTCTAAGAGAGGTTATGTTTTTGTTTATAACCACTCATTGCCACCCACATACTGTATAATCAGCTGTTTGGTGTTCGGTAAAACTCATTACAGTACAGTAGTACGTAATAGCACCCCATTTGATTAAGCTGGCAGCAAACAGCTGTTTTCTGAACTGAATCCTTGCGTGGGATGTTCGTCAAAATAGTGTAGTGTGGCGTAAACACTAAAATGAGGCTGTTATTCACAATTAGTTAATGTACAAGTTGTTTTTATGGGAAGGAATTATTTATCTTGGTCATGAAATGTGGTTGTCAAACTTTACACCCACAATTTTTTTCAGGTTACTTTTCCTTTGTAGCTTAAATAGCTTAGA